TGCGACAGATACTTGTCATACTGAGAGAAACTGAGGCTCTTGGAGCGTTTCCTTGCGAGGGAATGCGGAGGAATGTCGGCGGCAATCGCAACCGTATGTAAAGACGGATGAGATGTCAAGGTTGTGCTTGCCGAATCTCGCGAGGCATTTGAAAAGGTTCGGACATGTTGCGTCGCGATGGTCGAGGTCTGTGACTCCGCGCTCGAGGTATTACGCTTATCGTGTGCGAACCGGGAGGTTGGAATCCCCATGGCGGTTGCCTTTGCGACCAGTTCTTTCTCAACATCTGCTTCTGACCGTTGCGACGACAGCCGCAACACCTGGGCGCGATATTCTGCCTCGCCATCATCTGGGGTAGTCATGAGAGGCGGCGGACGGGCCATGTCCGGAGATGAGCTCGTCTGGCCAGCGAGCGAACCCATGGCGGGCAGAGGGGTCGGAAAAGAGGAAATCGTCAAGTCAGGGCAGCGCGAGCAGAGGCATCGTGGTTCGGAGCTCGGTGTGGTTGACAGCTCTCCGGACCTCGCCGGCCGGTCAAGCAGACAAAGGTGGTGCGACTAATTGGCGATTAATGCGCAGATGGTTTGAAACGGAAGTTGCAGGTACTGACTTGACATCGAACGGATCAAGTGAGGCCGGAGAAAGGATGAACCCACGAGGCAGGGCAACCACAAGCTCTGGGGAGTAGGCGAAGTGGACAGCGGCAATGATAGGACGGGAGGAGAGCCAAGGTTTGCCAGTGGTGGTGAAGGGCAAGGAAGGCCCAAGGGCGAGAAGCAGGAGTAGGTGCGGTGGGATGTGCAGTATTGGTAGAGGGCGCAAAAGGGTGGTGTATGTCGTTTCTTTTTCGGGTGTGAGGGCGAAACGGCGAATTGGGATGCGGCCTGGACCGCGAACGTGACTTGACGGGATAGGAGGATGATGCAAGGTTTGGTGAGTGTCGATTGATTGTCGAGGAGGGGATGGGGAGCTGAGCTGAGCGTCGCTGCGTGTGCCGGAAATACGGTTGAGTGTGAAAGGGCGGTTGATGGCAGGGGCGAAAGCGCAGATCTTGGGGACCCTTGAGAATGACGAGGGGGGCTAGGTATCCGTCCACGGCAGGCTAGAAACGGAGCGGGGAGAGGCAGTAACCGGTCGTGCTGCGACGCTGTGGTGGTGAGATGGGCGAGTCGCCGGCGGGTAGGGACTGTAGTAGTGACGGTACGGATGGAGACCAGACCGTAAGGAGGACTCGGGGGGAGGGGCTCTCCAAGGTGTCGACAATCAACGTCCCGATGCTAACGTTTTCGAGACAAGGGCCGAACGGTGAGTGCGATTCAAGCCGGGTAGGTGTGCGGTGAATCGGTGGAATGCGAGAGTGAGATATCCGTAGACAACAGCGGCGCAGGTGAATTCAGGCAAGGGGAGAGAGCTGCGGGTTGAATGTCTGCCGCGTCTTCTTGCTCTGCTGGCCTGCTGCTATGTCGAATGCAAAGAAGAGTCGGGTGAGAGCGGGACTCCAGTTTGATATGTTGGTGATTTGTCGGCTGATGTGTGACGAGAGCGACAACGGGACGGAACTTGAGAGACGGGGGAGCGTGAGAGAGCGAGAGAGGGAGAAAAGGAGCCCTGAATGGAGACTGCCCAGGTGGGAATCAGGAAGCGCAGGGCGAGCAGGGGCGGTGGACAGTGGGCCGTCCAAGGTGAGAACGGTGTCACCTTCTTGTTCGCTGCCCGTGTGGAGATAGGGACACTAATACTCGTGGAAGGTACAGCAGACGACAGGGATGAAAACCAGGACTCTCAGAATCTAGAGACTACGCAGTACAGCTGTTTTTTTTTTCTTTTGAGGCGACACAAGATTGCCGGTAAGAGATGACAAAGAAATGTAAATGGACGAGCATAAACATCATAAGAATCAAGATGCAGGTGAGAACCACTGGTTTGGGAAAGATTGGAACAAACGGGACAATGGAGGGACATGGCGACATGGGAGTGGGCTTCCGGCTGTTGGCGCCACATCCGACATGACCTGATTCCCCATTCCCTGCATGGCTCGACTCCCGTCCGCACTCTGCACTAGGTAGTAATGCTGGACTTCGTACTTATCTCATTTCACATGTCTTTGCTGCTTCCCTTCAGTAGGTATCTAGGTAGGAAGGAGGGTTCAATAAGTGTCGTACTGGCTGCTTTTTCACTTAAGAAGAACTAAGGTACACCTAGATAAAGCAAGGTACGGGCAGCAAATATATTCCTCAGTACAAATCTGTCTTGGGAACCTTAGGATGTAGCAGCAGCCAAAGTTGGCAGGCACTTGACATCCGATACCTACTGCTCTTGCCTTGCTACTTTGGAAGGCCCCGCCGGTGCCGCCGCCACGGACAGATACGTACCGAGTCCCGTCCCTTCCTGAGGTGGGCACCTGCACCAATTACTAGGTGTGCCAGTAGGTGCGCATCTTACCATTGGATTCCCAGTGGAGAACCTGGAGAAGGGAAAGAGCGCCCTTGCGGCTTCCCTTTCCCAAACCCATCTTGGGTACGGAATAGGTACATTACATCCCGTGCGCCTGACCTGCCCGCGCTGTCTGCCATTCCAGTGTGAACCTGCCGCCAGATACCTTCTGACCGGAGGCAGATTTGCGTCTCATGCTTCCACATTGATCAGCTTGGACCGCAACGACGACAACTCTACCTCAGGAAGCCCCCCCCCCCCCCCAAGTCAAACCACAATCTCCAACTCACTTTTATCCCTGGACTTTACAAGCCGCAAACGCCGTCAGCAACCCCTCACACCTCGACAAGCCTCCTCGATAGACAGGCGGTAGATGGACATTAGGCGCCCAGCGGTGGGCCAACTGACCTGGACAATGTCACAAACTTGACTATCACAGACGGAACCCTGCTGATAACACGACTTCCTCGACCAACTGCCATCCTGCAGCCTCTGCCATGTGGCACGTCGACGTGCCACACTGTTGATGTACAACGTTGGCGCCTGGCGGTGAGCAAACGAAATCGTCCCCGGATACAAGCCTCTGAAGCAGCCTAGATCAAGGCAAAGCTAAGTTCGGAAATGCATCTCATTCGTTTGCAATACGTGCTATCTGCCCTCTCCTAGGCATTCAGGGTTTATTATTCCCCTCTCAATAATAAGCTCTGTGCTTGGTTGGCCTGTTGGTACTGACGGCAAACCCAGGTCTTCAGGTTCTCCGGCCTTCGTCACAGATCCGACTTTTCTGCATGTACGAACGGGGAAAGCTACGCTCATTCTCCAGCAGCCTCTCGAGCGCCGGCCGTTTTCCTCCATCTCAGACACCGTTGGCATCCAGTCATAATTCCTAGTATCCGTTGTATGCAGCACTGGGTTTGCCGAACCCGAGAGTCAATCCCAATACAGCTTGCAGCAACACTTCGCAACGCATCATGAGCTTTGGCCGGTTGGAGGAAACACCGGAAGCTATCCGTCCCCATGGTACCCGTACCGAGTACGTAGGCATATATCAGCCCACTTTCTCCAAGAACCCCATCCTCCTTCCCGCTGACCGGGGTGAGGCTTTGAGAGGCTGCGTCAACATGAAGTTTCGTTTCCTGCTCGGTTCCCATTTACAATAGCCTTCTGCTTACCCGTATGCTGCCGATTTTTGCATGCGTCGATAATATTCCCTAAGGCTGAGGGCCCCCAGTCTGTTGGAAATCAGTCTTCCTGAGGAAGCAAACGCTCAAATTCATGTTAGCTACGCCCATGGCACTATTGATACCCGAATATAGTCGCCTAACAACCGCATCCTGGACTTCAATACGCAGCCCCGAGACGACCTCGACGTCCACAATGTCAAACTTCGCGTCTCCAACAGCTACATTAGCAGTACATGCAAAACTATGAGCCCTTGCCTGCTCGCCACTTAAGCTTTGGAAACGTCCGTGACACTCAAGGTCGATAATAAGGTCGGCCGATGGTCTGAGCTTCGCACAGCTCTATTGACAGGGCCAAAGTTACCCATGACTCCAAAGATACCCCCAATGTCCCCCCAAGGCGACCGCCTTGACTCGCCGACGGGTTCTCAACCATGTTGGAGGAGCTCCAATCGAGATTCTCCTCCACAACTCTAATTGCACTCGGGAAGCATGTTGCTGCATGGCTCTCTTGCCCCTTTCCCCGATTCCCCCGCATGGATAACTCGAGTCCGAGTTCCCGCTATATGCGGTACTTACTTTTAGCACCGAGTACTGCACCGCATCGGCCCCACATTGCGCCGTCCGCTGCCGGAGTCATATCCGGGCTGCCGGAGTTCGTTCGCGCTCGCCATGAGACCTAGATCTACCACACTCGCAATCATCCCATCTCTACGCGCAGGCGCCAAAGGCAATGCTGCCTACATCGAAAACATAGTGGTTGGTGGCTGGGAACAGGGTACTTTTAGCTGTCTCAAGTTGGTTTTCCTCACCACGAACAGAAAAAGAAACCAACAAAGAATGGGAGAGAAAAAGACATAGGGCAAAAAGCAACAGTCAGAGCCACGGTTTAACCTTTTTACTTCAGCGAAAGTGAGTATGTCCTAGCATGAGGCCTACTAACCACTCAAGCTTCCTAGCACTCGGGTGACAAAAACAATGGCTTGTGCCACCTAGATCTGCCACCAAAATGAGGACCATTTATTCTATCACCCGAGTGTCTGGTCATTTACCCTTCAACGTATGATCATTCAGGGCAATTCACAGGCCATATTTCAAATTCAGCAAGGCTGTTCCGGTCAACTCATCGCAATGAGCAAGATGTTCTCCCTTCGGCCTTTCAATCATCCTAGAAAACTTCGTAGAGAACGCAGGATGCCATCGAACCTGCTGCTGCAAACGGCTCATGAAGAAACCAATGGAGATGTACAGGCTGCAGCGGCTCTTCTTCGCGCCCGGAGCAACAACGAGAATCACCTAAAACCATGTCATTGTCCTTCTTGCCATCACTTCCTTGTCGGGATCCTTCGCCTCCTGCCTGATGTTCGTCGCCGCACATCAAAAGACATGACCGCCATTGACCATGGCGTTACGCATTTAGTTCTGGGTAAGCGGCATGGCGAATAGCTGCTCTTGATACCTGAAGCGGGGGCATCATCGCTGCCACCGCGTCTCATAGGAAGAGGCTCTCTCACTGGCAATTGCTCCTCGTTATCGATGCCCATCTCAACGGGGCTCTCCCACGCATCCAGGAGTAGGTTTCTGCCAAATATGACATGGTACCCAACTTTGATTCAGGAAAGCTATCAAGGTCTCAATGCACACCGCATTTCACAACGTGGCAGTACTCTATGGCTTCCTCCCAGGCCGTTTGCCGGCAAACACCACACCGGAATGCAATGCCACCCTACGCTCGAGTCAGTCGTCTACATAACGCTGTACGCCTTCCACGAAAGCCGGGGTAAGGGTGGTCCCAGCAGCCCTTCGCCTGCCCAATGCACCTGGAAGCAGTCACAGACTCCCGAACCCGTCCTTCAACAGCTGAGAGCAGCAGCACATCAGACTCTCGTCACTTTGATCTGGTTGAGGGAGCTCTGACCCTCCACGCCGTTTCTCACTTTTGATGTCCGGCTAGCCTCTTGATGCGGCTAGTATTAGTGGCTTACCTGCCAAAGTTTCACGGACCAGCGAATCCCCTCATGGCAGCCGTACTGATATTGGGCTGATTCGCTCGGACATGCCATGCAAAACTCCGGCTGGGCCTAGAACCGCAAGAGAGAGGGGGGAGTAGCTTCTCTTCTGCAGCAGTGGCTTCTCCGATGCCAATAGACGAAGTCGTTTGACGTTTCTCATTTCTTCATCGCCTCGTCACCCTGCTTCTGCCATCAAGTGAGGGTAAGGTGGCTAAGCACCATCAAGTGGATGTCTAGCTCGAAACCCCGACTTTGACGTTTCCGGTCGACGCTCTTTCTTGTTCCAGCCGATCAAAGGAAAGCGTTAAACTCTAGCGTCTTTGTGCAATCACCGGCTTTCCTCGAGTCTGGGTGCCTTTTTTCCGCCGCCCATCTCGATGGATTGGGAAATGGGCGAGGAAAGTCTTGAAGCCGCCACCGGCATTGGTGCTGCTGCTTCGATAAGTTGCGGGCGCCATATTCAAGTGCTTGTTGAGAGAGAGAGGCGGGCAGTGCCTTGCTGCAAGCTATCAGATGTAGTGCTCGTACAATCAAACAAACGTTCTGATAGGCGGCTGGGAATTGACAGGTCGATGATACAGAAGCCGACAATAACAGTGGGATCCCTCAAGACTGCATCCAGGAAACGCCATTGAATCTCTTTGGATTGGAAAGTCCGTTTGTGTCTATCGAATCTATTGGGGTTGTGTTGGGTATAGTTACTATTCTGTTGGTACAGGGTCATGTGTGTTCTAGCCACGCAACGGAGTATTTACAGACTCTCTCCTTCTAATGAGCTGAGAAGATGGTGGTTGTCTCCCGTGTGGAGGAAAGAAACCTTGACAATATACAAGCCGCATGTGTTGTACAGAATTGCGAATGGTAAGAAAAAAGAGGAAGAGAGGGAAAAAGAGAAATGAAGCCAGGACGTTCGAGGACATGTTGCTCGTTAGCGCTCGTATAGTAAGAGGCCGCACAGGTAGGGTAGTATCGGGTATATAAAAGGGAGGTTAAATTACTAGCTAGGAGTTATATAGCTCGAGGCCTATATATATATCCCGTCTAAGTCCCCCCGGAACTTCTTAATTAATATTATAGGTCTTCTTTATTTATATATCCGCTATTAATACGACGCCCTCGGAATAAATTAATTACTATTTATTACGAGTTTTTATTCGATATTATAATAGTATATAATTAATATATAATTAATAAAACTGCGTCGTAGAGATATATTATATCGAGTATTAAATTAAATATCGATATTTATTATATAATAATATATCGCTTCGTATATTATATTAGAGGTCGACTTATTATAAAAAAAACGAACTTAATAAAAAAATTAAACTCCTTCGTTTTTATTAAAACTCCTATAACCCTTAATACTTTTATTAATATTTATTTATTTAGTATTTATTTATATAATTTTATCGTTAATTTATATTTACTTAGTTAACCCCTTTAACGGAGTTCTTTTTAACTTTTTAGCTTTTATTTTATAATCTAGCTATTTATCGAAATAGGGTAACGGGTCGCGTCCTTTATCTATTACCTTTTTTATTTAGTACTCGAGGATTAGCTTATATTTATTTAATTTATTTAATTAATAGTCCTAGTACTTTTTAATTAATACGTCTAGCCGGTTATAGACTAATACTCGCTATACGCTATTATAAAGTATTAACTTTTTTTAAATAGGTAAATATCTATTACTATTTAAGGAACTTTTTAATAAATCTAGTCCTCTATATCCGAGGTTATTTTTTTATTATACTATATTCGAAGTATTGTATTAAGTCTCTTTTAAAATAATCTATTTAAGTAGTTTGCGTTAGTATTTCGTAATATTATTAATTTTTTATTAATTTTTTTGTAATTAATTACGAATTATCTACTTATATTCTTTATCTATTCTTAGTTTTTTAGGTCCTAGGTTAAAAATTAATAACTTTAGTTTTTTTTTAATAGTTCGGGTCGTAGTAGTATTAGGACTAAATATATCGTTAGCCGACCGTTTATTATTTATAGTTATCTAGGTATCCTTTTTTATAGTTCCGGTCGTCGACTTTATAAAGAAATTAAAACTCGAATTAATAGGTTTATAAGAGAGGAATAGGCTATTTATATAGCTTAATATAACTCGATTACTATTATTTATTAAGGAGGTGGGGTACTAACTATTTTTATTAAGGTTTTTTATTAATATTATATTAACTAACGTCGATTAACCTTTGTAATTAATTAAAATCGAACTTTTATTATTATTTTTCGGCTTCGGGGTAATTATATTAACCTTTAAAATTAGCTTAGTTATATTAAATATAATATAGCTATTTAATATTAGTAGAGAACTAATATAGGGGGACCTATATATTATATTAGAACTCGTTATACCGGGTCGTAGTCTAGATAATAAGAATCTATTAGTATTTATAATATAAGAACTTAGGAGATTTATGCTTTGTTAGTTTTAAAGAGGGGTATTATTTAATATAGTAAGGGGTTAATAAAAGAGTTATATATTTTTTATTATTACTATATCGCTTTATAACGAGGTAATAAGTAGCAACGACTTACTTATTATTATAGCTCGGTCGATCCGATCTAGGATCCGTCCTATTTTACAGGATTTTTTATTAAAAATATCTAAATTATTAAAAGTATTTATTAGTTCTTAATCGTTATTCTTCTCGGTAAATTAAAAATGTTCTTTAAATTAAAGCTAATCCTTCTCGGTAGGAGATTAAAGTCGATACTTTTTAAAAAGGGATTAAAAATAATACTCTTTAAAAGGTTAAGGCTAATTCTTTTTAATAAAAAGTTAAGGCTAATTCTCTTTTTTATTATTAAAGTTCGATAATACGTCCTCTCCGTTTATATTTTTAATTACCCCTTTAGCGTTATAGCTCTAGTATTTAATTTCGTTAATATAAAATAAAAATAGTATTTATTAAATAATATCTAACGGAATTTATCCCGTTAAAAGGATTTTTATTACCTTAATTATAATTAAAATCGTTCTTTTTATTTCTAGACCTTTTTTAAACGAACTAACTAGGCTATTTCTTTTTAAAAATAGTAACGCGACGTATTTTAATATTATTATTTAATAAATAGACTTTAGGATTATTTATAATAGGTCCTTTTCCTTAGTTCGAGCTACTAGGACTACGTTAATAGCTTTATATACTATATAATTTCTAAATATAATAGTAGTTCCCGATAATATAGGTATTAATAATCTCTCTATATCTTTAATTATCTTTAAAAATATAATAAATTCGATACCTTATAGCTTTTTTAGCTTTTAATAAACTACTAAAATAATTTTATATACGTTTATCGGCGTTATCTTTTTATTACCTTCGTTATTTTCGTTTTAAATTATATTAAAATTAAATAGGGGATCGGTAGGGGTAGGGGTATCGTTTAGTTAGGATAATAAAGTTTTTATTTTTATCGGGGTAAAAAGAGTTAACGATCTCTTTTTATTTTTATTTCTTTATCTAGCTTTAAAGCGTCCTATCTCGTCTAGCTTAGTTAAATATTCGTTTATAATAATTAATCCGTCGTTATTTAATAAAAAATCTATAAAATCGTTATTAAAGTATATAAAGTCGATTACGATCGTCTATCGGTCCGCGTTCTTTTATATATTATATTAGTAGGTTATTATAAATATAGTTTAATTCGATTGGCGGATAGGATTATAAATATTGTCGAAATAAAAATAAAAAGGGATTTGGGTAAATGTTTATAGGTATAAAAAGAAAAAAGGAAAAACGATGTATAGATATAGGTAAGAAAAAAATAAAAAGGTAAAGGATTACGGTATAAAGTAAGTAAAGTAAATAAACTAGTAGGAGTATAAAAAAAATAGAATATTAAAAGCGGTTAAGTTGTAAGTCGTTCTTTCCCCTTTTTTAGTAAAATAAATTTATAAACGGTAGCTTAAGGTTAACCCCTAACTATAAATATCCCTCTTGTAGTATAAATATCTTTAGTTAGTCTTAATATTAATAATATAGTATTAGTATCCTATTTAATTATTTAATTATATATAAGACTCGTCCGACTCGATATTTAATTATAAATAGCCCCCGTTAACGAGGTTTAAATTTAAAAGGCTTTTTATTTTAAACGAGTATTATTAAATTACTACGTTAGAACGGTTAATACGTTTTTATATTGTACTTTATTATTTTCGTTTTATTAACTATTTTATATTCGTTTATAATATCTTGTTTAATAATATCCGTTTTAGCTATAAAATTAACGGTAATATTAACGAGCTTATTAAGGTCCGGTAGTTATCTCGGATCTAACGTCTTTAATATATTTACTTTAATTATTTCCTATCTTATAAATATTTCTATTAAAAAAAAGCCGATTATCGATATCTATTTATTATTTAATTTATTTAACTCGCTCTATAAGTAGTCGTCCTATTCGTTTTTTAATATAGACCTATTTAATATCCTTTTTATTAAGATATCTATTAATAATTTAATATACTTTTCGATTATATTTATAAATTTATACGATTTTGCTAGGGCTAGTACGACTTTAATTAACCGGCTTTTTATAATTATTTTAAATTCTATTAATATAAATACTCCTCCGGTATCTAGGTATATTACCTCGGGTACCGCTCTTAAAGTATTCGATTATCTTTTTAATATAGGGATAGCTTTTATTATTAACGAGGTCTTTATTAGTACTATTTAATAAAATCTATTTAAATAGTCGATCTAAATTAAAATTAATATATTACCTTTCTTTATTTTTAGTAATAGTCCTAGGTAGTCTAGACCTATTATTTATAGTAAATAAGAAATAGTAATCGTTTAGTTTATATAAGACGACTTTTTAATTATAACGCCTACGTATAGCTAATAGCTTTTAATATAATTAATAACGTCG